TCCCTCGCGGGGTGACTCACTTTTCCCTTCTAAAGTTCTGACAGGTCACTCTGAGAAGGGGGGGGATTCTCCCTCCCATTGTGAGTCACCCCAAGGGGCAAGTCTGGGGAGATTTCTGTCACTGACCTTGCCACCTACCCGATTCCCTGGGGGTGGGGGTCAGGTTCCAATGGATTCCAAGACCTTAGACACAGCAGGGTGGGGCCTAGGGGTGGGTTCATGTCGTGCGAGCCTGGTCTGTCCCCGTCTTGAGGAACACAAAGGCAGCTTTCTCTATCTGGGGGGGTGGGGGGGGGAGAGAACCGTCAAACCCGCCCGCATCCAATGGCCCGGGGCACCAGAGGCGCGCCCAGCCTTCTCGGCATGCACCCAGTAGGGCAAGGGGCAGGGGCAGAGCCCGGGCTCTTCTCGGAAGCGGGTGAACAGAGGGCCCTGGGGGTGGCGGGTAGGACAGTGGGAGCTCAGGGCAGGCTTGCACTCTTCGGGAGCAGGAATCTGCCCCCACCCCACACCCAGGGAACCTTCGGAGGACTCCCCACCCTCTGGCTGGGCCTAAGGCCTGGAATCCAGGGAGTCCCAAATATCCCAGGAACGTGGGGGCCACAGGGGGGACTTTGTGTGTTAGGCTGCTGACTCACCCCTACGCCTCCACCTGATGCTGAGGTCCCCACATAGGAGGGGGACAAAGAGTGGAAAGAAGGCCAGACTGTGGTTCTGGGGGTTGAGCACTGTGAACTTAAGTCAGAAGTTTCCAGGAGAGGAGGGGCTGGGATCCTGGACTCCTAGAGACCGTCAAACCCGCCAGCATCCCATGGGCCGGGGGCCAAAAGACCCGCCAGCATCCAATGGCCCGTGGCACCAGAGCCCAGGCACCCACTGTGTAGACCCCAGGCCCACAGGATCCAGGCGCCCAGCCTTCTCAGCATGGGAGGAGAGGCTGGGGACCTGGACTCCTAGATATAAGGGAGGAGGGCTGGGGGCCCAGACTCCTGGGTCTGAGGGAGGAGAGGCTGGGGGCCTGGACCCCTGGATCTGAGGGAGGAGAGGCTGGGGGCCTGGAACCCTGGGTCTGAGGCAGGAGTGGCTGTGGCCTAAACCTTGGGTCTGAGGGAGGAGAGGCTGGGGAACTGGGCCTGTGGTTTCAGGGAGAAAGGGGCTGAGGGCATATACCCCAAGGATACCTGGACCCCTGGACTGAGAGAGGAGGGGCTGGGGGCCTGGACTCCTGGGTTTCAGGGAGAAGGGGGCTGGGGGCCTGGACCCCAGAATCTGAGGCAGGAGGGGCTGGGGTACAGACTCCTGGCTCTGAGAGAGGAAGGGACGGGGGTCCACTCCAGGTTTCCAAGGGAGGAGGGGCTGGGACCCTGACGCCTAGGTCCTGCGAATACAGGCGCCTTCACAAGGCTGAGCTGGGGAAGAATTGACGCTTTGTGCGAAGATGTTCGGACTCCGCCATTGATGGGGGCTGAGGGGGGGTTCTGTCAGGACGCAGGGATGTACCACTTCCCTAGGGGAAGAACGGGGAAGGAGGCATGATGCCAGGAGCCCCCTGGGGAGCGGATACAGAGGGGGTGGCTGTGACCTTCCCGCAACCATGACCTTGAGACTCCCTTGGGTATTCGCTGACTCAGGACCCAGGAAGTGCTCCCCCCCACCCGGCTTGGTCTCCGTGGAAACCTCCACCAGCTGTGTCCTCTGGACCCCTGGTTCCTGGGTTCTGAAGGAGGAGGGGGCTGGAGGCCCAGACTCTTGGGTCTGGGTGGGGAGAGAAGGATGGGGGCCCAGACTCCAGGGTTTGAAGGAAAAGGATGCTGAGAACCTAGGCTCCTGATGGCTGAGGGACTGGGGGCCTGGTCTCCTGGGTCCTGGGAGAGGAGGAGGTCCAGGGCTGGGTTCCTGGGTCAAAGGTAGAGGGTGCTGGTTTTCCCGGGTCTCTACATATCACCTGCTTAGCTGCTCATTCTCAAAACCTTCCCTGTCCCTTTTTCCAGACCATCCCCATGACGACTCCTGGCTGTCAACACAGTTTAAAGGGCCAGTGCCCCAGTCCCAAAAGCTCAGCCCCTCTCTAACCAGAAAATCCCGCCCCACCACCCCCCAACATGAAACAAAAGCTTGTAGGGCATTAATATTCCAGGCACACACACCGTTGGTTACTGACTCCTCAGGAGGGGGAGGGAATAAGACAAAAGCCCCCCACCCTCACCCTATGTGCACCCTCAAGCAGACAGCAGGGGAAAATTGGAGGGGGGGGGCAGGTCTAGAGGACCTGATGGCTCTTAGGAGATGGTGGTGACTTTTGCCACTGATGTATCTGGGACCAGCTCTGACCTCATTCTCCACATCCAGAAAATGGGAGCTAGCATCGGACTGGCCCTGAGTGCCAAGTTCCATGGATAGGCTTCGAGATGCTTCTTAACGCGGCAGATGCTGCAGCCAGCTTTCCCTGTCCCTTTTTCCAGACCATCCCCATGACGACTCCTGGCTGTCCACACAGTTTAAAGGGCCAGTGCCCCAGTCCCAAAAGCTCAGCCCCTCTCTAACCAGAAAATCCCGCCCCACCACCCCCCAACATGAAACAAAAGCTTGTAGGGCATTAATATTCCAGGCACACACACCGTTGGTTACTGACTCCTCAGGAGGGGGAGGGAATAAGACAAAAGCCCCCCACCCTCACCCTATGTGCACCCTCAAGCAGACAGCAGGGGAAAATTGGAGGGGGGGGGGCAGGTCTAGAGGACCTGATGGCTCTTAGGAGATGGTGGTGACTTTTGCCACTGATGTATCTGGGACCAGCTCTGACCTCATTCTCCACATCCAGAAAATGGGAGCTAGCATCGGACTGGCCCTGAGTGCCAAGTTCCATGGATAGGCTTCGAGATGCTTCTTAACGCGGCAGATGCTGCAGCCAGCTTTCACAGGCGTGGGCAAAGTGTCGGGAGGTTGGAATAACAACAGCCTTGCCGAGAGGGCGCCCCGAGTTTGAGCATGGGCTAATTCCAGCGAGGCAGGTACTGGATCACCCCCATTTTACAGATGGGGCATCTGAGGCTCAGAAAGGTGAGGCCACTTGCCCAAGGTCACACCAGATGGCAAGTGGTTGATCTGGGAATCCACCCAAGTGTTTAAGAAGAGGGAGAATCATGATGTCATGAAATTGTTGTGGGGCTGAAAGATCCTGTCTGACATATGTGATTCCTTTGGCAAGGTCCTCAGACATTTAGCAAGTGCAAGGCCCACTTCTAGGATCTGGGGCGCAGCAGTAAACGCAATGCCTTACATCCCTGCCTTCAGGGAGTGTATATTCTAACGATGGGTCACAAATAGACAACGAACTACTGTCACAGCATTTCAGTAAAGTTTCCCGACATTTTTGAGCGGAAATAAAACAATGGTGAGGGAATAGAAAGTGTTCTGAAGGTGAAGGGACAGGAAGTGAGAGAAGACCTCTGTCTCAGTCCAACCTCTGTTGCTTTTTTTTTTTTTTTTTTTTTTTTTTTTCCTTTTTTTGGAGAGGTTTTTGCTGTAGGGTGCGTGCGCTCACCAGAAAGACAATCCCTTCTCCATTCTCCTCTCAGGATTGTAGGCACGTGCACACACACACACACACACACACACACGCACACACACACACACACACACACACGTGCCCAACATGAGTTTGAAGCTGCTGGGTCTGGGACTTGAACTGCGATCAAACATGGGGGAGTCCAGCAAGGTCATCTGTTGGTCCCAATTCTCTCTTGCTTTAATAACTGAATCTCAGTCTGAGGACTGGACGATTTATAGGAATAAAGGTTTAGGGACCAGCAGTTGGCGTAATGGCTACGTTGCTGGACTCCCATGTAGTCAACCTTGGTTCAAGTCCTGGACCTAGTGGCTTAAAACACGCCAGGAACGTGTGCGTGCGTGCCTAAGATCCCGAGAGGAGAATGGAGGAGAAGGGATTGCGCGTGGCCGTTCCCCTTGGGGGTGATTTCTTGCTTTCTGTCTCTCTGTCTCTCTCTGTCTTTCTGGTGAGCCTACTTGCCCTATAGCAAAAACCTCTCCAAAAAAAAAAAAAAGAGGATAGAGGTTTATTTAGCTCATGGTTGTGGAGGTCCAAGGTTGGGGGCTACATCTGCTGGTGGATAGCATGGCAGGAGGGATCACATGGCAAGAGCTTACCTGTCGGTGTCAGCCTTGTTCCCCCTTTTAGAAACCTGTCAGGATTCAATCACGAGGCCCCACCCTGTCGACCTTAATCCTAATCACCTCCCAACGGCCCCACCTCTTAATCTCGTAGTCATATTAAACTTTCACCGTCTTAACACCATCACAACCAAATTTCATCATGTGAATTTTCAGAGACGCATTCAAACCCTAGCAGCCTCGGAGGTGATGGAGATGTGATCAGAGACCGAATGAGAACAGGAAGCAGCCTTGGGATGGTGGGGACTTGCTGGAGTGGGGCGGCAGAGAAGAACATTGGAGGCAGCGGGAAGAACATTGGGGGCAGAGGGAAGACCATTGGGGGCAGAGGGAAGACCACTGGGGGCAGAGGGAAGAACCAGTACAAGGGCCCTGAAGTGGGAACAAGCTCGGTCCATTTGAGGGACATCAGGCCAGTGAACTTGGAGTGATGTGCAGGAAAATGGTCAGAAATGAGGTCACAGAGGTGAGGCCACATCTTGGAGGCCTTAATTTTTTAAAATTATTTATTTCATTTTATTTATTCATTCTTTTTTCTTTCTTTCTTTTTTTAATTTGACCAGAGAGAGAGAGAAAGTGAGAAAGCAAGCTGCCAGGTCCAGGACTCGACCCATGACCAGCCATGTGGGAGTGTCCAGCACCTTAACCACCACGCCACCTGCTGGCCCTGGAGGCCTTAATTTTATACTAAGCACAGTGGGTAGTCCTAAGAAGGTTTTAAGCAGAGAGGCAATTTGATCTGGTTTTCTTTTTTGAAAAATCCATCTGGCTGCTGTGTGGAGAATATCCTTGGAGGGAGTAGGCACAGCAGCAGAGAGATCCACAAGGACGCTCTTGAAAGGCCCAGAGGAGAGATGTTGGACGAGGGTGATGGCAGGAGAGCAGACAAAGGTGAATAGTCCTGGGGGAAGGATGGACAGAAATCGCTAATGGAAATGGGTATTGTGGGTGAGAGCAAGAGAGAGAAGTTGGGTAATTTTTATATTTTTGGCCTGAGCATCTGGGTGGATGGTTGGCATTTATTGAGACTGAGAAAACTTGGGGAGGAACATATTTGGGGCAAGGATTGGATGTGTTAAGCTTGATATTTTAAGAGGTGCTAGATAAATCTCAAATAGTGACTTAAATACCAAAGTGTTATACTCAAACATAAAAGAAGCCTGGAAGTCCAGGGCTATTATTGACAGTTAACATCTTCGTCAGAGACTCAGGTACCTTCCAACTTTTGGTTCTACCATCCCTACTGCCATTGTCTTCATGGTCCAAGATGGCTGCCAGAATTCCACGCATCACATCGTAGGTCCAGGCAGCACAAAAGTAACCTGATAGGAAAAGGATTTGTCTATTTTCTTTAGGAAGTCTTCCCAAATTACCACATGACACTTTTGCTTATATCCAATGGGATAAAACTTTATCATATGGACTCACTTAGCTGCAAGGAAGACTGAGAAACATTTCTTTGTGCTGGACACAGGGCAACCATAAAGTATAATCAAGCAAGGTCTAATTCTGAGGAAAAAGGGAAGAATGAGTGTTGGGATAGGAAGCCAGAAGTCTCTGCCTCCATCCCCCAGAATTAATCTTTTCTATTCCCCAACCCCCAAATTAGGTTACTTAGGTTACCTGTCCTCTTAAAGGGCATGTAGCATTCTTTTCTTTGCACTTTCAGTTTTTGCTATAGAGTGTAAGCACTTGCCAGAGAAAGACCGAGTGATGGAGAACAGGAAAGTGAGAAATCACTCCCCCGAGGGGGATGGTCATGCTGCACTTCCTTCTCCTCCAGTCTCCCTGGGATTTTAGGCACGTTTGCACATGTGACTGGTGTGATCTTCGAGGCAGCAGGTCCAAACTGCACAGTCGGCCATGTGGGATCCGGTGCCTTCCCCCTCCACACCACACGCTGGCCGAGGAGCGTAATACTCCTGACATGATTATTCCAGTGATTTCGTCTGCCGCCTCATAAATCTAACGGCCTCCACGGGCTAGGACCTCACCTTGCTCCTCTCTGCATACCCAACCCCAGAGAACCTACGCAAGAACCAGGAAATACTCAAATGAATGAACGAAACCCCAGGACAGAGTGACAGGAGTCATGGGTGCTTGTTCGGCATGGCTAGTTCTTCATGGCATGTCCCTGCTTCAGAACCTCCACTGGGGCCGGCTCTGTGGGCCAGTGATAATGTACTGCTCAAGTGAAGCTGGATCCCACATGTTCATCTCAGTTTGACTCCTAGGCACAGTCGGCCTAAAAGACACCGGGCACATGGGTGGATGCGGAGCTCCCTGGGGCTAGACGACTGAAGGAAAGGGATTACGGCATAACCAGACATGGTGGAGAGCGCGCCTCTCTCACTATCACATCACAAATAGAGAATTTTATTTTATTATTATTAATATTTTAGGTTTTTGTCATAGGGTGTGTATATTTGCCAGGGAGAGACAGTGAGAGGGAAAGTAAGAAATCAACCCCTAGGGAGGATGGCCACACCACAATCTCTTCTCTTCCATTTTCTTCCTGAGATTTTCGGCACACACCTACACACAGCCAGCATGAGTTTCAAGCTGCCAGGTCTGGGACTTGAACCATGATCAGCCATGTGGGAGTCCAGCATCTTAAGCAACATGCCACCTGCTGGCCCTGAGAAAAGTATTTTTTAAAAAAAGGAAAGAAAGGGGCCAGCAAGTGGTGTGGTGGTTAAGGCCGCTGGAATCCCACATGGCTGACCACGGTTCCAGTCCCAGACCTGGCGACTTGATTTCTCACTCCCCCTCCCACTCTCCCTCTCTGGTCAAATTAAGATATATAAATAGAAATAAATTAATTAAATAATTTTTAAGAAAAGAAAACTCTCCTAGCCTTTAGAATAAAAGCAAATCTAGATGGACCAGCAGGTGGCATGGTGGTTAAGGTGCTGGACTCCCATATGGTCAACCACAGTTTGAGTCCCAGATCTGGCAGCTTGCTTTCTCACCTTCTCTCTCTCTCCTCACTCTGTCTCTCTTTGGTGAGTACACTTGTACTGCAGAAAATTAAAATAATAATAGCAATAAATTAAAAAATTAAGGGACCAGCAGATGGCATAATGGTTATATTGCTGGACTCCCAAGGAGTCAACTGCGATTCGAGTCCTGGATCCAGCAGCTTAAACTCACGCCAGGAGTGTGTGCATGTGTGCCCAATCTCCTGAGAAAAGAATGGAGGAGAAGGGACTGTGGTGTGGCCATCCCCTCTGGGAGTGATTTCTTGCTTTCTGTCTCTCTGTCTCTCTGTCTTTCCAGCGAGTGCATGCGCCCTATAGCACAAACCTCGCCAAATAAGTAAATAAGTCATTCTAACAAAACAGCTAGTCTAGGTTGGTACCTGGGGCCCATCACAAGCATATCTTACAAACCCTCACCAATGTTGGACACTTCACCCCAGCCAGCCAAGAAGGATGGATATTGGTGCAGATATGGAATCGGAGAGATTTGGATGCAGACCCTGGTCCTGCCACTCTCAACTGTGACCTTCAGCAAGCTATTTCACCTCTAAACCAATTTTCTCACCTATAAAATGAGAATTGGTTAAAAAACCAAACAGACAGGGATTGATAATAGCGCCTACTTTATACAGATATTGTGACGATCAGAGGGAAGTGATCTAAGCAATGCCCTGAGCCAGGACCTAGCACAGGAGCCTGATAAACAGTAGCCGTGGCGAAGACCACAGTGACAGCGATGGCAGTAATTACTTTTAGTTTCCAGCTTTTCTCTAGGCTGTTTCCTCTGCTGGTGCTGGAAACAGCCCCTTTATAATCCTCCACCTTGTTCCTGTGATGGACTAATCAGGGTAGGTCAACCGCTGAAATAACCAGCTCTGAAATCTCAGTAGCTTAACAGAGATTTCTTTTTTTCTTTTTCTTTTTTTAAAAAATTTAACCAGAGAGAGAGAGAGAGAGAGCGCAAAAGAGAGAGAGAAACGGAAAATGAGAAAATGAGCCACCAGGTCCCGGACTCAAACTGCGGTCAGCCATGTAGGAGTCTAGCACCTTATCCACCATACCACCTACAGGCCCCCAGGAAAGTGTATTTCTAGCTCACACTGCAGTCCTCTACAGGCAGGCCACGGGGCACAGTCAGTCGGAGAGCTGGACTCCATCCAGCTTGTGATCTGGCCCTCCTCTGGGCTCCCTGCACAGTCGAGCCTGAGTGAGTGCATTCCAGCCAGCATGAAGACTGTGAGGGAGAAGGGTCAGACTGGGAGAGGTGTTAATCTATTCTACCTACACCCCCGTCACATGGTCCCTAACTACAAAGGATTCTGGGAAGTGTAACTTCAGCGGTGAAACAGCCAACCCCAAACCTAGTGACTTCAAGCAGCAACTCCTTTATTTGTTCACAACACTGGGAGGCCAGCAGATTGGGCTGGATCAGGTGGGCAGAGTGTCTCCTGGTCTCAGCGGGGGTCACTGGTGTGGGTGGCTGCAGTCTTCTGGTGATGGAGCTGGCACTGCATGATTCAGGGTGGCCTTGCTCATGGCTGGCAGTGGGTGCTGGCTGCTGTCTGGGCATCTTCTTTCAACATTTGTAGTGCAGCAGAGGGTACAAGTGGAAGTTGCAAGGCCTCTTCAGGCCGTGGCTCCAGAAGTCATACAGTATCACTTCTAGCAAATTCTACTGGTCAAAGTAAGTCACGAGGCCTATCCAGATTGGAAGGGGACAGAGCATGTTCTCACAGGAGGAGTGGCCAAGTTACCTTGCAGAGAGCTTGTCCAAGGAAGGATAGGATGGGCATCTTTGCAGACAAGCTACAGTGTGTTCCTGGGTGTGAAACGGGCTTGGTGACCACACAGCAGTCCCATCCAGTGAACTCTGCTCACTCTGTAAGATCCACATGTAATGGAAGGAAGAGGTGCTTGGATTTATCCACCTTTCCTTTTTCCTCTGCTTCTCTCCTGAAACCTGACCTTGGCGGATTTTAACTTCCTGGACAACTGGCTACAGTAAATATGACCAGAGCCTTCTCTGACCACCCATCTCTCTAGGTGGTTTTAGCCTCTCCTTCAACTGCACCCTATGCTGCCTCCATTAGAGTAGATACTGCAAGATCTCACCTCCTGGCACCTCCTCTAGAGAACAGATTTTCTCCATGTCCTGGACTAGCTGCAGAAAATGTTGGGAGAAATGAGCTGAATGAGAAGGGAGGGAGAGGGATCGGAGGTTTGGATGGGAGAGAAACCGAGAGAGAACAAAAAGATTGAACTGCGGCCCTCAATGAGCCTTCTGTCTCTCTGCTGGTCCAGGGGCGGGACAGGAAGTACAAACAGAAAATGTCACAGTGGCTGAGGGTGGAGTGGCTGAGATCACCTGCCGTCTGCACCAATACGATGGGTCCATAGTTGTCATCCAGAACCCAGCCCGACAGACCCTCTTCTTCAATGGCACCCGCGGTGAGTGTGGGGACCGGGATCCTGAGTCCTGAAGGAGAGGGCTGGGCCTGCACTCCTGTGTCCGGAAAGAGGACCTAGCTGAGTCCAAACTCCTGAGTTGGGGAAAGCAGGGCTTGGGCCTGGACTCCTGGTCCTGCCTGAATAATGCTGGGTCCCCAAGGCAGGAAGGAGTTGGAGACCTCAGACTCAGGTATGGCTGGAGAAACCAGGCAGAGGTTAGGACCTTCAGCTCCTGGAGGAAAGGTGGGACTCTCCAAGTTGACGCCTTTCCTTGACTCTAGCCTTGAAGGATGAGCGGTTCCAGCTTGAGGAGTTCTCCCCACGCCGGGTGCGGATCCGGCTGTCAGACGCCCGCCTGGAGGACGAGGGAGGATACTTCTGCCAGCTCTACACGGAGGATACCCACCACCAGATTGCCACGCTCACTGTGCTAGGTAAGGGCCGCTCCCTGCTCAGGCCCTCCTCTGTCCTTTCTCTTCCTCCTTTCTCTTATTCTGACACCCTCTGACCTTGGCCTGTTTGAACCTCCTGGACGGATGGCTCCAGTAAATATGGCCAGCCTTCCTGTTTGACCCCTGCCGCCTGGGACCCTGGTTCCCTTTGGTCCCTTGGATCCTGGAGCCTCCTGGCTTTAAGCCCACTTCAGTTCCTCCTTTAACCAACCCTTACCCGCTTCTCCCTGCGCAGTGGCCCCAGAGAATCCTGTGGTGGAAGTCCAGGAGCAGGCGGTAGAGGGCGGCGAGGTGGAGCTCAACTGCCTGGTTCCACGGTCCCGCCCGGCAGCCACCCTGCGTTGGTACCGGGACCGCAAGGAGCTGAAAGGTATCCTGGGTGGACTTACGAGGGGCGGAACTAGCGGGGAGGCGTACTTCTAAGAGGAGGCGGGGCTTAGGAAAGGGGCTGCTTGTGTGTGGACGGGTGGCTTTTTTAATTTTTTAAACATTTATTTATTTATTTAATTCCATTTGTTGTTATCATTTTTAAATTTTGACCAGAGAGAGGCAGAGAGAGAGAGGAAGGGAATGCGAGAAAGCAAGCCTCCAGGTCCAGGACTCGAACCGCAGTCGACCATGTGGGAATCCAGGGCTCTTAACCACCACGCCACCTACCAGCCCCAGGTGGCTTTTTTTTAAAAGAGTTTTTCTTGCACTCTCCAGAGAGACAGAGACAGAGAGACAGAAAGCGAGAAGTCACCCCCCAGGGGTGTGGCCACCCGCAGTTCCCTTCTCCATTCTCTACTTGTGATTTGGGGCATGCACACACACACAACCGGCCTGAGCGCTCTCAGGTTTTGACTGACACTAGCCTTTCCATATTTACCTCTTGAATGAACTGGTGGAAGAGAACACGTGGGGGGTGAAAGAGAGGAGCGTTAGGGAAGGGGCACGTGGCTGGGTTTGGGGAGGGGTGCGGTTTGGAGGACAAGAGAGGAACCCTGTTGATAAAGGGCGGAGCTTGGCAAATAACCTGCTTTGGCATGGGTGAGTGGGTGGAGCCGGACTCCCAGCTGAGGCTGACCATGTCCCCGTCGGGCGTGGCAGGAGTGAGCAGCGGCCAGGAAAGTGGCAAGGTCTGGATTGTGAGGAGCACAGTGCGGTTTCGAGTGGACCGCAAGGACGACGGCGGCATCGTCATCTGCGAGGCCCAGAACCAGGCGCTGCCGTCTGGACACAGCAAGCAGACGCAGTACGTGCTGGACGTGCAGTGTAAGTGCCTGGCGGGCCAGGACCCAGGGGGCCCCAGCGCCAGCCACCCGCCCGCCCTGGGAGGGTCCTTGGCCCCACGTGGTGACCCAGACACCACTCGCTCTTCTTACTTCTGCCAGACTCCCCCACGGCCCGGATCCATGCCTCCCAAGCTGTGGTGAGGGAGGGAGACACGCTGGTGCTGACGTGTGCTGTCACAGGGAACCCCAGGTGAGCTGTGGGGTCTGAGATCCCCGGGCTGTGAGAAGAGGGCTGCGGACCTGGACACCCGAGTCTCAGGGAGGAGGGGCCTGGGTGGACAGAGGACTTGGACGGGACTTCTGGGTCCTGAGGAGGAGGAATCTGGGGCTCAGACTTTCGGGTTCTAAAGTAGGGAATCCTGGGATCCTGGGATCCCGGACTCCTAGATTCTGAGGGCAGAAGGGTCACGGACGGCTAGGATTCCTGCGACCCTGGTCAGGGTGGGAACTGGGCTCGGGACACTCTTACCAAGAAGGAAAGGGCTGTCAGGGAGCCGCCTATCTGGAGGTCCTTGTGGGGTGAGACTGCACGTTGGACTCCTGAGAAGTCAGAATTGGCTAATAGCACGCGAACGGTTCTTAAGTCTTCCTGTACCTTACCCCCGCCCAGGCCAAACCAGATCCGCTGGAACCGCGGGAATGAGTCTCTGCCCGAGAGGGCTGAGGCCGTGGGGGAGACGCTCACGCTGCCCGGCCTGGTATCTGCAGATAACGGCACCTACACCTGCGAGGCGTCCAACAAGCATGGCCATGCGAGGGCGCTCTATGTGCTCGTGGTCTACGGTGAGGGCCTGCTGCTGCAGGCCTTGGCCTGGCTGGGGCAGGGACTGGGGCAGGGGCAGGGACAGGGGTGGGGCCTGGGGCATTTGGAGTGAGGCTTGGGCAAAGACAGGGGGTCAAAGCCAACTGAGTTCTTAAAGTTCTGGGGTCAAATTAGGTTCAAGACTTCTGGGTCCAGATTCAGTTTTGACGCTTCTTATTGCAGGTAACTTGATCTGCCTGCATCTTCATGTCCTCCTCCCTAAAGTGGAACTAAACATTAGTATCTCTCTCATAGGGCTGCTGTGAAGACTGTGTGAGCTAAATATGTAAAGTGGCTGGAATCTCCCCTAGCACATAAGTGTTTCTGTTTAGCTCTAATTACAGTCGGGCAGGGATTTTGGAAATGGTTGGGCTCTAGTTCAGCACTTAAATACCTGGAGCATTACAGACAAGGCAGGAAGAAACCTAGGACCTGCTTCTGGAACTTGGACTTTGTTTCTCCAGCGAGGGTGTTTCTGTCCCCTGAGGGGTGGGGGAGCTCTGGGGAGGCAGGGCTGGAATCAGCAAAGGACTCAGGAACTTGGATCAAGGAGTGTGCAAGCCAACAGATGTTTCACAAGGAGGTGGAACATCTGGAGAGGAGCCGTGAGAAGGGACTGCAGGAGGCCTAACGTCGATAGGCGTGGCACATCACGAGCTGCAGTTAAATGTGGTGTACGGAATGGTTCAGAGCTTGGCAGGGGGGGGCCTGGACCAACACTTTCCTCTGATGACCCGGGCATGCGCACTGTCCCTCTGGCAGATCCCGGTGCAGTGGTAGAGGCTCAAACGTCGGTACCCTACGCCATCGTGGGCGGCATCCTGGCGTTACTGGTGTTCCTGATCATATGTGTGCTAGTGGGCATGGTCTGGTGCTCTGTACGGCAGAAGGGTGAGTGGAGATCCCGCCCCAATTCAGTGAGGGGTGTGGTTGGATGTGGGATAGGGGCGGGGCCTGGAGCCAGACTCATAAGGGGCGGGGCCTGGCTGAGCTTCCACCTTCCAAGGGACCCAAGGCGAGATCCCGGGTGTGGGTTTTCGGCCCAGGGTGTTAAAAGGGGGTGAAACTTAGAAGGACATGGACTCGAATAAAACAACTTGTCTTCCGAATTGCTGGGTTTGCCGGGTTCGCTGGGGGCAGAGCCGAGATGCCACCAAGAGAATGGATGAGGGTGGATCTTTCCGGGAACTTTGGGAGTCTTCCTAAGGCTGCCTTTATCTCTTTCTCTGCCACTGTTTTGGTCTTCCCCGAACTGTCTCTCTGTGTTCCCGTTCTCCCTCTTCCTTGTCTGATACCTATCTTGTCTGTCTCCCTCTTTCCGTACATGACTGTCCCACTCTTGGGTCTCCATATATGTCCCTTCTGCCCGCGAATCTGTCCCCCTGCAGGCTCCTATCTGACCCACGAGGCCAGTGGCTTGGACGAGCAGGGAGAAGCAAGAGAAGCCTTTCTAAATGGCAGCGACGGACACAAGAGGAAAGAAGAATTCTTCATCTGACCCCACCCCAACCCCAGGCCTGGGCGTGGGCTGGGGTCCCCCCCCACTGCCAGCTGCAAGGAACCAGCAAAGACATTTACCAGAGTCTGGGATGGTGGGCTTCTCCCCCACCACTAACATGTCAGACGCTTGGGCAGGAATGGGGGTGTTGGATGCCTGGATCTCTGCAAGGGCCAGAATGAGGGCCCAGAGGTCTGAGTCCCCCAGGGGGCAGGGGCCAAAGGTCTAGATACCCCAAGTCCAGGGAGGGCGCTAGGGATTGGGTTGGGGGAAGATAACTGGGGGAAGGCCAGAGCCCCTAGGCTACAGAACCAGGTCATGTGGGGAAGGGATCAGATTCTGGGCAGGGCAGGGTGGGCAGGGAAGGGGAACACAGATTTCTTTGGGGGTCTCAGACCTCATGCCAGCCACTGTAAGAGTTCCACAGAGCTCTGGGCACCTCTTTGCAAAGCCATGTTTGCACGGTGGGGAAGGGGTGGGGGGAGGGCAAGGAAACAGGGATTCTGTGTCTTTGTGTCATAACTTTGATGGGGGCAGTGAGGGAGACAGCCCCACCCTTTACTCCAATCCCCCTTCCTAGGTTCCTGGACTCCCCTTCCTTCCATCTCCTCCCCCTACATCAATCCCACCCATATTTGTCTCTCTGTCCACCCACTCCTGGGGGGGCCTTCCCCATCTCTCCTCTGGGCCCCCCAGGGAGGGGGAAAGGAGTTTGGGGGAGGGGGATGTGTGGTCTCTATCTTTTTATATATAATATATTAAAAAAAATCAAAAATCTGTATGAAAATATCAGATTGCACCCCCCTCCCCCTATTCCTGGCTTTTGCCCCCTTTTTCTTGTTTAAAATAAAAAAACACACACATTTTGTACGGGGAGGGGTCTCGGGAGGGGGTTTGGCAATCTCACTAACCACCATTAAACCGAGGAGAGAACAAGCGTCTAGGGTGGCTGTGTGTCTGTCCCTCTGCCCGGGGCTATACCAGTGGGAAGGTGAAGGGAGGGAGGAGAGACGGGAGTGGGGCAGGTGCTGGTGGGAAGTCCAGTCCAGAGGTGGGTCCTGACCTCGCTCAGGGCACCTCCACCCTCTTAAGAAACCAAGGTTTTTCCTGGCCGCTTCTTTAAATACTCTCCAGCTTTACGACGCTAACCTAGTCCCATCTCTGTGGCCTCGAACCTTCCCCTGGCTTCCTCCCTACCCTGACACTAGTCTCCAGGGGAACCTTTTTTTTTTTTTAAAGTTTTTGCTATAGGGCGCATGCGCTTGCCAGAGAGACAGAGAGAAAGTGAAAAATCATTCCCTAAGGGGGATGGCCACCCTACTATCCCTCCTCCATTCTCTTCCTGGGATTTTGGGCACACATGCACGCGTGCCCAGCATGAGTTTCAAGCTGCTGGGTCTGGGGTTTGAACCATGGCTGGCCATGTGGGAGTCCAGCACTTGAACCACTCTGCCACCCACTGGCTCCACCAGGGAGATTTAATTACTCACCTTTCAAAATCTCACCCTGTCCGTGCCCTGCTCAAGACTTTCCTTAGTTCCATATCATTTCTAGATCAAGTCAAAACTCTCTAATCCTCCATCTTTGGCCTCTTATTAATTCGTGTTTTTTTTGCCCATTTTCCGGCACCCCTCGCTTCTTGGGAGCTCTGTTTTTCCTTCCCACTCCTTTAACAAACTCCCTGCTTTGTAAATAAATCCCCTGCTTTGCTAATAAACTCTCTGCTTTGCTATAATTTTTTATATGAATTTTAGATGTATTATTATAACTTCAGAATTAAAAAATAGGGAACCAGCAGTTAGCGTAATGGCTATGTCGCTGGACTCCAACGTAGTCGACCGCGGTTTGTGTCCCGGACCCGGTGGCTTAAAACTCATGCCGGGCGCATGTGCGTGCGTGCCCAAGATCCCGAGAGGAGAATGGCGGAGAAGGGATTGCGGCATGGCCATCCCCCCTGCGGGGTAATTTCTCGCTTTCTGTCTCTATGTCTCTCTCTGTCTGTCTGGCGAGCGCACGTGCCCTATAGCAAAAAAAAAAGAAAGAAAAAGAAAACCACTTTGGGTGTGTGTGCATGCATACCCAAAATCCCAAGAGGAGAATGGAGAAGGGATTGTAGCAGAAAGGAGAAGGGATTGCAGTATGGCCAAAGGTGGGGGTGATTTCCTCACTTCCCCTCTTCTGTCTCTCCAGTGAGCACTTGTGCCTTATGGCAAAGAGCCAAAAACAAGAAACTTAGGGGCCAGTTGATGGCATGGTGGTTGAGATGGCTGGATCCCACATGTACAACTGTTGGGTTCGAGTCTCAGACCTAGCAACTGGAGAAACATACTGGGGACATGTGCACGTGTGACCGAAATCCCAAGAGGAGAATTTACAAGGGACTGTGGTATGGGCCTCCCCACTAGGGGTGCTTTCTCATTCACTTTCTCTCCCCCTTACCCCCTGGCAGCACATGCCCTGTAACATAAAAAATTTATATCTATATAGATAGAGATATTTTAAAAGGAGCAACCCCATTCTTATCCACATGAAGCTTTCATGATGAAAACCAACTACAGGGCCCAGTAGAGGGCGTAGTGGTTACATCGCTGGACTCTCACATGGCTGACTGCGGTTTGAGTCCCAGACCCGATGGCTTGAAAATCAAACCTGGTGCATGTATGTGTATGCATGCCCAAGATCCCAGGAGGAGAACAGAGGAGAAGGGATCCAAAATCAGACTGGGGGTGTGTGTGCATGCCTAAGATCCCAGGAGGAGAATGAGAAGGGAGGAGAAGGTATCCACGACCATCCATCCCACACACACCGGAGGGTGGGGGGTCGTTTCTCGCTTTCCCTCTCACTGTCTCTGTCTCTCCCTCCCCCCACTCCAGTGCATGCACATCCCTAAGGCAAAAACTTCCAAAAAAAAAAAAAAAAAGAAGCAGAAAGCCAACTACAAGCAAGAATACAAAAGAACATGTCAGATTGTGATAAGGATTCTTCAGGTAAAAGCAGAGTGAGGGGCTATGGGTTGCTATCTTATTTTAACTTATTAGGGACAACTTCAAAGTACGGAAGACAGAACAGGACAATGAAGTCCCACGTACCTTGCACCACAGTGTCAAAGGCCACAACGCATGATCAATCCTGCTTTATCCATGACCTCACTCAAATCTAGAAGGATCAGGGAAAGACTCAGGTTGACATCTGTGCAAGATATGAATGTTGACGGGAATAAGCAACTCTGCTTATCACTGAGTATGAGATTCTCCTGAGCTATAGTGGCTCTTTTTACATAGTTTTGAGCAGGAGAGTTGTCAGTCAACATAGAGTGGGCCTGGCCTAAAAAGGTGGGACATCTGTAAACAGTTTTGTAGGTTATAGGTGAGTTTAAAATTCTTACATTTTAACTGGTTAGAGAGAAACCCGTCTCTGTTCCTGAAGGAAATCAGCAAGTCTGTGCTTTAAGAGATATACCTGGCGGGGCCGACAGGTGGCGCAGTGGTTAAAGGCGCTGGATTCTCACGTGGTTGACTGCAGTTGAGTCCTGGACTGCTTGACCCTTCCCCCCACCTCTCTGGTCAAATTAAATATTAATAATAACAAATGGAGTTAAATTATTATTTTTTTTGGAGAGGTTTTTACTATAGGGTGTGTGCACTTGCCAGATAGAGAGAGACAGAGAGACAGAAAGCGAGAAATCACCCCCCAGGGGGGATGGCCACGCCACAATCCCTTCTCCTCCATTCTCCTCTTGGGATCTTGGGCAGGCACACACACGCACCCAGCCTGAGTTTTAAGCCACCAGGTCCAGGACACGAACTGCAGTGGACTACGTGGGAGTCCAGCGATATAGCCATTATGCTAACTGCTGGTCCCAGGGTTAAATATTTTTTAAAAAAGAATTATTGGGGGGGACCAGCAGGTGGCATGGTGGCTAAGGCACTGGACACTCCCACATGACTGACCATGGTTAGAGTCCTGGACCTGGCAGCTTGCTTTCTCACTTTCTCTCTCTGTCTCTGTCTGTCTGTCTCTGGTCAAATTAAAATAAATGAATGAATGGGACCAGCAGGTGGAGTGGTGGTAAAGGTGCTGGACACTTGTACATGGTTGACTACGGTTCAAGTCCTGGACCTGATGGCTTTCTCTCTCTCTCTGTCTCTCTCTTTCTCCCTCTGGTAAAATTATAAACATAAACGAATGAATAAAAAAAATTAGAAAACAATGAGTGAATAAATAAAAATAAACTATTTTTAAAAATAATTATTGGGACCAGCAGATGACGTAATGGCTACCTCACTGGACTCCCATGTAGCTGACCGCAGTTCAAGTCCCAGACTGGGTGGCTTAAACTCACACCGGGCGTACGCGCATGTGTGCCCAAGATCCCTGGAGGAGAGGGGACTGTGGCGTGGCCATCCCTGTGGGGTGATTCTCGCTTTCTATATGTCTCTTTCAGTCTTTCTGGCGAGCGCAGGCGCCCTATAGCGAAAACCTCTTCCAAAAAAAAGAAAATGTTTGTAGACCTCTGTTAATGTTTGTAGGCGTGACTCTCCCAACTCCCCTGGAAACAACTTTGGAATAGGAAAAAGTCAGAATTTTGTCCTCAAATATAAGAGGAGTTATTCGAAGATCAGAGGGCAAAGCACTTTCAGGCAAAGGAAGCAAGAACAAAGGCCTGAGATGGTAAAGACAGGTTTACGAGGTGAGGTGAAGTCGAGCTAGACAGCAGAGAAGGAAGAGAAGAGGTGGGTGAGGTCAGAAAAATAAGCAGGCATTGGACTGTGTGTACAGTCCCCGTGCTGTGCCCCAGTCACGAAGTTCTCAAAAGACCACCAGGGAGCCGTTCCGATGTAGGCACATGGGGGTCGCTTTTATTCAGCCAGGACTCCCAATCTCACCAGCACAGCAGGTCAGAGTTGAGAGCCACGCATATTAGTTGGGCTGGGTTTAACAAAATGGAGTTGCCCTGAAAGAAATGGAGTCACTCTGGCCCTTCACCTGGACCATGAGAGAGTGTGGATTTTTCTTCCCCTAAGTGTGATAGAATGCCATTGGAGAGTTTTAAGCTGGAATGTGACAGTCATGTCTTCAGAAACACTGGAATAGTTTCGTATACTCAGCATAAATTCTGAGCTCTTAAACACTGCCAGTCGGTGAGCCTTTCTCCTCTCCAATTCCTTGTTCCAGGCATTCTAAACAGCTTTCACTTCCTTAGTCAAACCTTGAAGGATTTTTGCCTCTGGGCCTTCCCCCTTGCAGTTCTGCCAGGAAGACTCCCATACTAGTTGGCTACCCGGATTGGGCTGGAGCTGCTTCTGGCTTCACAACCATTCCAATTCTAATGGTTCCGGGGGGGCGGGGGGGGGTAGCAGTTGTCTAATTAGGTGTGGATCACCTTTCTTTGGGGGCCATGTACATAGGGGCTGGGTCTGTCTTGTTCACTGCAGAAATCACAGTGCCCGGCAGCACAGGACCTGACACAGAAATCAATAAATATTTATCCTGTGTGGGAGGGGTATGAGGGTTGTCAGGAGTGTTGACCCTCAGACCCCATCTCGGGATGCAAACTGATGCTCGACTAGGACAAGCTATCCACTTCACGCTAGTCTGCAGTCCCTGTGCGCATGCGCCTTGTTCAGGCGCAACCCCCAACCCAGATGCTAATCACTGCGCGCTGGAGTTCTGCCTCTCTCCGGGGAATATGCAAATCATTCTTCCCAGTGCCGGAGGCCTTCCATTGTCCCGCGCTAGGATTATGCAAATGAATAGGCCTCCAGCCCAGGATCCAGGCTGAATTGGCCCCCTCCACCCCAGCGCATCCCATTTTTATCAGGAGCGCTCCTATTCTGCACTTGCACGCGCGAGCCATCCAGCTCCTCGCGCCTCCGACCGCGGACTGTACCAAATAAACCCAGGCGGTAAGGGGTAAAGCACGGCACCCCCTGCGCGAGTCTCGATGGCCCGACTCTGATAGCCCCTCTTGCCACATTGCATTAGGAATAGTCCACCTCGCCGCGCAAGCGCCCAAAGGCTCTACACGCCCCTTGCGCTACCTCCTGCCCTACTTGCGGCGCAGGCGCAGAGCCCAGGCGTGCATCCGCCACCGCCGAGCCGGAGCGGGGGCCGCCAACGCCGGTGAGTGTCCGGGGTAGGGGTGCGCGGGGCATGCCGGGAAGCGGGCGCTACGGCCCCGTTGCATGATGGGAGGGACGGCTCCAGTCACCGAGGAGCCGGCAGCGGTCCTGGACGGTGATGGCCTGAGGACGAGACCCAGGCCCTTTCTCCCTCCACGCGGCTCTGTACCGCCATGGAGCATCTGGGAAAACGGGGCGCACCGCCTTAGAGCGCTGTCGGGGCTGGGTCCGCTAGTCGGTATAGGCCTGGTGCTTTCTGAGAGATTAGCGTAGCTCCTGATGGGGAACCAGTCCCTTTGGCCACATAGCTTCCACGGAGGCTGCGACGCCAGGCGTCTTGGAAGGTGGTCGCTATAGGCCCGAGGCATTCTGGGAAGATGTGCCGCAGGCATTGTGGAAACTGGGCCTTATTGTCTCGTTAAGGGCTTGCTGTGGCCTTCTTGACCAAGCAGGAGTATCTGCTGTGTTCACGGGGGGCATCTTGAGTTAACTGCTACAGGTTCGGGGCCTCGTGGGGGTCTCAGGCAGTGTTTGAGGGAGCTTCGTTTATGCCCCTTCTAAAGTCGTGGAAGTCAGACTACTCTAAACGTTGTAGGAATGAGGCTTGTGCACTAAGGGATGCCGCTAGGCCCTGTCTAGAATAGTACTTTGAAGGGGGCCTTGTGTGATGTGGGCTTGGGAAAGCGTAGACTGCGTTGGTGGGCATTGTCGCTGTCGCCTTACGGTAACCTCGTGGAAAGTTGGGATTGTCCCTGGTGTATGGTTGCCAGGTAAAATAGAATGCCTAGTTAAATTTGAATTTCAGATAAAAATTATTGAAAAATTATTTCATTTAACTGTTTATTTAATTTGACCAGCGAGGGACAGGGCGAGAGAGAGAGAGAGACAGGGAAAGTGAGAAGCAATCCACTAGGTCTGGGACTCCAAAATCTAATCGATCATGTTGGGGAATCCAGGGCCCTTAACTACCATGCCACTTGCCGACGACCCAAGATAAAATTTTTAAAAGAATTATTTTAATTAATTTTATTTATTGTTAATATTATTGTTGGTATTTAATTTGACCCGAGAGAGCAGTAGAGTGAAAAAACAAGCTGCCAGGTCCAGGACTTGAACCATAGTCAGCCATGTGGGAGTCCTTTAACTAACAGACCACCTACTGGCCTCCAGATAAATTTTTTTTTTTTTTGAGAGGTTTTTCACTATAGGGCGCAAGCGCTCGCCAGACAGAGACAGAGAGACACAAAGCGAGAAATCACCCCCAGGTGGGTTGGTCACGCCTTAATCCCTGGGCACCACCGCACAGGGCCGTGGCTTGAGTTTTAAGCCAGCGGGTCTGGGACACGAACTGCGGTAGACTACGTAAGTGAGAGTCCAGTGACATAGCCTAACTAACTGCTGATCCCCCCAGATAATTTTTTTAAAAGAATTATTTTATTTAACTTTATTTATTTACTTATTTTTTTAATTTAACCAGAGAAGATAGAAAGAGAAAGAGCAAGTGATGAAGCAAGCTGCCAGGTCCAGGACTCAAACCATGGTTGACCTTGTGCTAGTCCAGTGCCCCGAACCACCACACCACCCAAAGTACATCTTAAATATTCTCATATATAATGAATAGAATGTGTACATAAGATTTATATATAAAATATATAAGTATTATATAATATATTGTATAGATAATGTGTGTGATATAAATATTTTATATATACATACACACAGACACACACACACTCACTCTTCCTCTGGAGCACACAGCACTCTTTCATAAAATATTTTTAAAAGGTGAGGGGGAGGGAGGCAGCCAGTGGAATGGTGCTTACCATGGCTGGACTTTACATGGCCTTCTGCACAGTTCACAATTTGAATCCTGGAGAACCAGCAGCTTGAAATAAAGTGTTCAGAGTTGTCCAAAATCCCCAGAAGAGAATGGTGAAGGGATAGTGAAGGCAAGGCCATCTCCTCTGGGGGGTGATTTCTCATTTTCCTTCAGTCTTTCTCGAGCACAGGTGCCAATCACAAAACTTTATAAAGAAACATAAAGGGGGGAGTATGCTTAAGCGACAAATAATTATTTCCCTTCTCCATTTCTTCATCTTCTTAGAATTCTGGGCGCCTTCCCATACTGCCTAGCTGGAGGGCAGGGATTCCAACCACTTGGTCAGCCATGTGGGATCTAGTTCCCTTACACAAAAGGCTGGCACAAATAATTACTTAATATATAATATATATTTATATATTATATACATTAATATTAATATATATCAAGGTGCATGATAATTAAGATGCTGGACTCCCACATGGCAAATGCAGTTCGAATCCCCAACACAGCAACTTGAAAATCCCTTGGGCCATTGTTCATGCATCCCCAAAGTCCCAAGAGGAGAATGGAGAAGGGATTGCTGGGTGGCCATCTCCTCAGGGACTGATTTCTCACTTTGTTCTCTGGTGAGGACATGTGGCATAAAGCAAAAAAAAAGCCCAGATCCAGGTACCTTTTTTTAGGTTTTTGCACTTATTGGAGAGAGGGGGAAAGTGAGAAATTACCTTGCCCTCCCCAGCGGTGGAGTGGGAATGGCTGTGCACAGTCCCTTCTCCATTCTCTTCTTGGGACTTTGGGTGTGCATGTGTACTTGCCCAGAGTGATTTTCAAGTTGCGGTGTCTAGGATTTGAACTGCATTTGCCATGTGGGGGAGTCCAGCACCTTAATTACCATGCCACCTCTCTACAAAAAAAATAGAAATTGGGCTCAACAGATGGCGGCGTAATGGTTATGTTGCTGGACTCCCAGTTTGAGTCCCCGACGTGGCGGCTTAAAACTCATGAGAGGAGAATGGAGGACAGGGATTGCAGTGTGGTCATCCCTTCTGGAGAGTGATTCTGTTTCTGTCTCTCTGGGGCGTGCACTAGCCCTACAGTATAAAAGTCTACAAAAAAAAGAAGAAAGAAATCACCATGCCATCTACTGGCCTCTAGGTGTCTTCTTTGGAAAATTCCCCTGCCACGACCAGCAGATGGCATAATGGTTATATCGATGTACTCCCATGTAGTTGACTATCCATGGTTTGAGTCCTGGACTCAGTGGCTTAAACTCATACTGGGTACTTGTGCGTAGATGTCCAAAATCCCAAATGGAGACTGGAGGAGAAGGGATTGCACTGTGGCCATCTCCCCGGGTGTCGATTTCTCGCTTTCTGTCTGCCTAGCGGGCACTCATACCTTACTGCTATCCCTCCCATGCCCCCCAACCCCCGCTTCAGTCTGACCTTTGAATCTTCAGTCCCCCGCAAGTAAATATGACTCCTGGAGTTTGAAGAGCCTGTGTATTTTCCACTGTTCTCCGTTCTCCTTATCCAGCACAGACCTTGGCGTACGAGAGGTGCAGCTAAAGCTATGAGCCCTATGTGATTATTGTCAGGGAGTGCAGTGGAAAGCAAAAGAAGTGCTGTGTGTGGGTAGGTGTTTGTGGAGAGAGAGAGAGAGTCTGCTGATGAAGAGAGAAAGAGCAGTCAAGTAAGGTTTCTTCAGAGGGGAAGAGGGAGTACTTAGTCTGGGAAGAAGTATAAAAGTTCTTAGGGTTGGTGGTAAAGTTTTTTCTTTTAAGTTTTTATTTCATTCATGATAGGACATACATGCACATGTGAAAGAGAGGGACACATACACACACAAAGACAGGCATCCTTGCCAGCGTCTCATCATGCTATCGTTTTGCCCCAACCCTCCAGCTTGGCAGGGTCTTGGGCACGTGTAGGTCGCTGACCTAGTATCCAAATCCAGGGTCGGCTATGTGGCTTCCAGCACTGTAGATCAGTATATTACTGCCCACACCACCCAGGCTTGGCCATGGCAGGCTTTGAAGGGCGAAGAGGAGTTCTCCAGGTAGGTAACAGGGAAGGAGGATGCTCTAAACAGCAGGGTATAGTAGGACCCACAGATGTGAAAAGACCTGATGTGCAGAGGAAGAGGTGAAAAGTGGACTAAGTGGGGAGTTCAGGAGGGCGAATAGTAATGCCTACTGTTCTTAGCATACCTGCCACATACCAGCAATTTATATGAATGAGCCTGTGAATCTACCGACAATTATTTTGAGCTGAGAGGTCATTTTATGATCTATAAGAAAAGTGGGATGACATGGATTCATGTCGTAGTTTGGCCACCTACTTGGGCTGCTCGTTTAGCCTCTCTGCACCTCGGTTTCCTCATCTATACAAAGGAGATCATGTCAGTATAGTGATTAGTATGTGAGCCTGGAGGCTCCTGCAGAGAAGGGAACAGGCTAGAGAAGTTAGGTCCTTGAAGCCGCATAGCTAGGGAGTGGCAGATTTAGGGTTCGGTTCAAACCTCGGCACTGTCTTGCCAGTTGATTATAGTACCGAGGCTGACGTTCACAACCTAATGTAGTGTACCAAATTGTGGAGATACTGAAATACTCCCGACTAGTTAGCGTATTGCTGCTACATCAAGTACTCTCTATCCCTAACTGCCACTTTGGGCCCTCCCACAGCCCCAACTTGGCAACTAAAGAGTTAATGCCTAGCATAGAAATTGATCCACACTCAGTTCTTATTGGTGTCTAGGCAAGTACCTATGTTGACTATTTGGAATATCATCTCTTCCTACCCCCCTGAATAAGAACCACAGGTAACCTTGCTTAGATGAGAAAAAGAAAGCCTACAGAGGGGCAGGGCCTGCAGTCAAGGCCCTGTACACTGTTGGGGACACAGCGGGGCCCTCCTTGTGTGCCCCTAGGACCAAACACAAAGCTGAGCTTGGAGGGGTGAAAGTTCTATGTAAAAATTTATTGAGTCACCACAGGTCCTTCTTTTCCCCTGTGCAGAAGTCCTCTCTACCTGCCAACATCCTGTCTTAGAGAAGAACCTGCTGCCAGAGGTGAGGCTGTGGAGAGTTGACCGGGGAAGGACGCTGCTCAGCTGCTGCTCTGTTCCTGTCTCTTGTCCCCTCCCCTGGCCATGACAGAGACCCGTGAGCCAGCTGAGACTGGGGGCTATGCCAGCTTGGAAGAAGATGATGAAGACCTTTCCCCAGGTGAGGAAGCCTTAGAGTGAGTGGTATTGGCTTGATTGTCATCCTGGCTTCGGGTTTGGGCTCCACTGAGAAATCTTGATGGGGAATAGCTCCTTGTCTTGCTAGAGGATCTATGTTGACTGGGACTCCTTGTTCTACTAGACGATCTCTTTGAATTGTGACTACTGGGGGAGCCCGGTGAGCCAGCTGAGACTGGGGGCTATGCCAGCTTGGAAGAAGATGATGAAGACCTTTCCCCAGGTGAGGAAGCCTTAGAGTGAGTGGTATTGGCTTGATTGTCATCCTGGCTTCGGGTTTGGGCTCCACTGAGAAATCTTGATGGGGAATAGCTCCTTGTCTTGCTAGAGGATCTATGTTGACTGGGACTCCTTGTTCTACTAGACGATCTCTTTGAATTGTGACTACTGGGGATTGTAGATTGTTTGCGACCTCTCTCCTTGCTGGGGGTTCTGGATTGGCTGTGATAGCGCTCCTTGCTAGGAGTTCTGGATCGGCTGTGATCTCTCTTACTAGAGGCTCTGGATTGTCTGTGATATCTCTCCTTGCTAGGGGTTCTAGATCTGCTGTGAGCTCCCTCCTTGCTGGGAGTTCTAGATCTGTGATATCTCTTTTTGCTGAAGGTTCTTTTGCTATTATCTCTCTTCACGCCGGGAGTTCTAGATTGGCTGCGAACTCTCTCTTTGCTGGAGTTGTTTGCCCATCTGTGACCTCTTTCCTTGCTGGGAGTTCTAGATCGGCTATGACCAGTCTTACTGGGGCTTCTAGATTGACTGTACACTCTCTCCTTGCTAGGAGTTCTAGACCTTTTGAGACCTCTCTCCTTGCTGGAGGTTCTAGACTGGCTGTGACCTCTCCCCTTGCTGTGACTTCTAGACTGGCTGTGACCTCTCTCATTACTGGGGCTTCTAGACTGGCTGTGGCCTCTTCTGCTACTGAGACTTCTAGACCAGCTATGGCCTCTCCCCTGGCTTGGACTTCTCGACCGGTTATGGCCTCTTCCCTGGCGGGGGCTTCTAGAGTGGCTGTGGTCTCTCTCCTGGCTGGAGCTTCTAGATTGGCTATAGCCTTTCCCCTGGTTTGGACTTCTAGACCGCCTGTGGCCTCTCCCCTGGCTGGGGCTTCTAGACCGCCTGTGGCCTCTCCCCTGGCTGGGGCTTACAGG